TATTGAGTATTTTAAATTTTTATAGAATTTAATATTTTTCAAACTTTCCAGAAACAATTTTATCTTCAACATTATACAAAACACTTCAGAAACTAACTATGAAACTCTTCAGAAACAATTTCCTCATCAAGCCCTTCAGCAACTATTTTCATTGCAATGATATTTCAATTTCCTTAGGAACAACAGCAAGCGATCTTTCTAAACAATGGTTCACTCGTCAGTAACTGTAAATAAATATCAAACTATTAAGAACAATGTAATATTTTTAATATTTTTCAAACTTTTCAGAAACAATTTTATCTTCAACATTATACAAAACACTTCAGAAATTAAACTATTATAATAAATTAAATTCATATTAAACTAAAAACTAAAATTAAACTAAACTTAAAACAAAATCATAAACGACTAAAACTAGAGCTTTTCAGTCTGTATTTATAGGCTTCTTTCCATACACTCTCATCAGCGTATATGCCAAGTCATTAATTAAATAATGAAAAACTATGAATACATATTTTAAGACCACCTTCTAACGCTGATTGGTTTGAAACGAAAAATCACGCCATAATGCTGTTAGTTTGTAGGAAGTATACAATTTTTGACAATCCTTCTTTAAAACGTGTTTACAAATTGTAGTTCACTAAAAAATCACGCCACGCTCTACAGTTCAACGCTTTAAATTTGTCAAACTCTTGAAATGGACACAGAGGCTGAATTTCGACACGTTGATATCCCAAATACTTTAGATACTATGGCAAACTCAGCAACTATCTTTCGAAACTTTCAGAAACAATTTTCTTCTCAGCAACATCTCAAACTTTTTACGGATTAAATTCATTTTTAAAATAGATAAATCAGTTTCAAACAAAAAAACTGGAAGTACGAAAAGACGATCAGCCATTGACAAAGTTGAATGCTAAGACACTTACATAAGAACGCTAGAAATTCTGATATCTAAAAATAAGATATAATTCTGGTAACAAAATATTAAAAAACATTATAATTTCAAGTAAAAATTGCTAAACCTTATAAAATTCTTCAAAACTCGATAAAACACTGTAAAACATTGTATAAGTTTATAAAACACTGTAAAATTGAGTTTTACAGCTTCACAGTGTTTTACCCTAAC